TACCTCTTTTAATTGCGAATTTTGTCAACTTGCCAAACACACTCGCACTTCATTTCCTCGATTATCATACAAACCCACTCGTTCCTTTTCTCTGATCCATAGTGACGTATGGGGTTCTCGTGAAAAAATATTTCTGGGGCCCAATGGTTCGTGTCCTTTATTGATGATCACACACGAGTGACATGGATCTATCTTATGCATGACAAATTCGAGGTAGGACCAATATTTCGTGCATTTTATCAAATGATACTCACTCAATTTGACACAAAAATTCAGACTCTTAAAACAGATAATGCACGAGATTTTTTCAATACCTCCCTAGGAACTTTTCTTACTCAACACGACATCCTTCACCTTGGCACGTGTGTTGATACTCCCCAACAAAATGGGGTTGTCGAGCGGAAAAATCATCACTTGTTGGAGATAGCCCGCTGTCTCATGTTCACCACATCGGTCCCTAAATGTTATTGGGGCGAGGCAACATTGACCGCTACCTATCTCATAAATCGGACGCCCTCTCGTATTCTGAGTTTCCGTAGTCCAATTGATGTGCTCCTTCGCTCCTTTCCAAATACCTGTACACTCTCTTCAGTTGTCCCTACCAAACTATTTGGTTGCTCCGCCTTTGTTCATATTCATAAACAACACCGCAGTAAATTAGACCCCAAATCTGTCAAATGCCTATTCATAGGGTATTCGACCGACAAGAAAGACTACAAGTGTTATTGTCCTTCAACTAAAAAGGTCTATAATTCAATGGATGTCACCTTTTTTGAGCATCAATTACACTACCAAGAGTCTGTCATTTAGGGGGAGAGTCGTAGTGAACAACAGCCCTGTGTTCCTTTACCAACTGACACGGGTCCCTCACCGACTGTCAAACCTCCTCCATCTCCTATTCAACCTCCTCAGTCTACACAACCCACTCCTCAGGAACTTCGGGTCTATACAAGACGAAACAGAACTGCAGAAAGAATAGAGAACCTAACACCGCTTCCAGCTGATGTCCAAGAATCTAATCCGGCTCCAAAACCCTCTGAAACTCACTTAGATACGAAATCTATAGACACTAGTGATTATGAG